GAACAGGTGAGGTGGTGAACAGTTCCTTCAATGTACTCACGGCTGACTCGGCCTCAGGCGTCCACAGGAATGGCACCTTAGGGGAGGTGAGCTTGGTCAGGGGGGCAACCACTCGGCTGAAACCCCTGATGAAGCGGCGGTAGAAGTTGGCGAAGCCCAGGAAGCGTTGTAGCTGCTTCCGAGACGTGGGTGTGGGCCACTCCACAACCGCTCTGATCTTGTCAGGGTCTGGTGACACTTGTCCCCGCTCGATAATAAAGCCCAAAAAGGGGACGGACTGCCGGTGGAACTCACATTTTTCTGCTTTCACATACAGTTTGTTTTCCATGAGGCGTTGGAGAACCAGACGGACGTGGGAGACGTGTTCATCCTGTGACTTAGAGAATATAAGAATGTCATCCAAATAGACAAACACAAAACGGTGTAGAAAATCCCTCAACACATCGTTAACCATGGCCTGAAACACTGCTGGGGCGTTAGTGAGACCGAATGGCATGACTAGGTATTCAAAGTGTCCGAGAGGGGTATTGAACCCAGTCTTCCATTCGTCTCCCTGCCTGATCCTAACGAGGTGGTAAGCGTTCCGTAGGTCGAGTTTGGTAAACACAGTGGCACCATGAAGGGAGTCAAATGCTGAGTTGATGAGAGGCAGGGGGTATGTATTTCTGACTGTGATGTTATTTAGTCCTCTGTAGTCAATGCAGGGGCGTAATGTTTTGTCCTTCTTCTCTACAAAAAAGAACCCAGCACCAACAGCGGACGATGAGGGACGAATGATGCCAGAGGTTAGGGAGTCGCCTATGTAGGTTTCCATAGCTTCTCTCTCAGGACGGGACAGATTGAAAAGCCGACTGGACGGCAAAGGGGCTCCAGGAAGTAACTCAATAGCGCAATCGTATGGCCTATGAGGTGGTAATGAAAGTGCCTTGGACTTACTGAATACCTCGGCCAGGTCCAGGTACTCCTCAGGGACTGAAGAGAGGTCTGGAGTTTTGACAGGGGAATCAGGGGAGCCGACCGAGGGCGGAATAGCCGACCCCAGGCACACAGAATGGCAGTGAGTGCTCCAACTGTGTATTTTGTGGTTTTGCCAATCAATATGGGGGTTGTGAAGGCTAAGCCAGGGGAAACCGAGGATAAGGGGGGAGGCCGAGGAGGAGACTACTTTAAACTGGATGGTTTCTTTGTGATTGCCGGACAGCATGAGAGAAACGGGGACAGTTTGGTGGGTGATGTTGGCAAACTGATGGCCGTCAATAGCGGTTACTGTTATAGGCTTAGGCAGGGGCTTAACAGGGATCTCAGCCTGAGTGACCAGGTTAGCGTCAATGAAACTATCCTCAGCACCAGAGTCGATGAGAGCAGCTAGTGGGAGAGATAGATTCCTGAACTGGACTGTAACTGGGATCACTAGACGGGGTGTTGTGGGCATTGAGTCAGGTATAGCACTCGCAAGTACGCCCACTTTTACCTGCGAGCTTGGTCTTTTGGGGCGAACCGGACAGTTAACCAGGAAATGAGTGCGGTCCCCACAGTACATGCACTCACCAGCCCGTATGCGCCGTTCCTTTTCGACATGGGACAGACGAGCACGGCCCAGCTGCATGGGCTCGTCTAGTTCCGTGGAGGGATCCGCTGAGGTGTGTGGGCGGTGTCCGAGTGGTGGTGTAGCTCGGGCTGCAGAAAGCGAGGGAGCCCCGTTAGAGGTGTGGACCCGACCGCCCCTCTCCTGTCTCCTCTCCCGTAGCCTGTTGTCTATTCGTGTAGCAAGGGAAACGAGAACATGAAGGTTAGCAGGCTCATCACGAACAGCTAGTTCATTCTTAACCGTGTCACTTAGACCGTTAACAAACGCTCCCTGAAGAGCTTCGTCGTTCCACTTGGAATCGGCTGCCAAGGTCCAAAATTCAATGGCGTATTCAGCCACGCTACCCGTGCCCTGTCGTAGCTTCAATAGTCTCTTTGTGGCGGTCCCGGCATGGTCCGGGTGATCAAACACAACTTTCAATTGAGAGGAAAAATCGTCAAACGACAGGCTGGCAATCTGCTGAGTAGAACAAGCCGCTTCTGCCCAAATCAAAGCTTTGCCCCTCATTAACCCCAGTGCGTAATGTACCTTGGAGGATTCCGTGGAGAAAGACAGGGGCTTCTGTTGGAACACCAAGCGGCACTGAAGCAGGAAACCACGGCATTTGTTCAGGTCCCCGGTGAAAGGTTCGGGTGCGGTTGTAGGGGGTTCCCGAAGGGCAGGAGCGGAAGCCGAGCCTGGAGCCACTGTAGGAGGAACAGGCGGAGGAGAAGCAGAGGGAGGAAGGGTAGTGAGTGTTACCAGGTTAGCTACCTGAGAGGTGAGATGAGATACTTGATCCAACAACTGCTGGTTGTTATCCAATAGAGTCCGGATGAGTTGGTCGTGTTGTCCCAATAGCATTCCCTGTGAATGGAGGGCGTGTTGTACGCCATCACCCGTTGTTTCATGTGGCATCTCTGCTGAGTCCATGTTTGGCCAGTTCGTTCTATTAGGTTGGGTGGGGGACTCAGGTGCAGAGACGGACACACGGACAAAGAGAGTGAATTAGGATGTAGTTTATTCAACGTGTTTTGGCAGAGAGAAGCAGTTCAGGGTGAAGTAGCTTCAGGCCGGGGTAGGAGCTGAGTGGGGTGGAGAGCCAGTAGTCCTGAGAGCTGGATGACGAGGATAACAGGTAACAGAGGAGCAGGTAGCGGCGTGGGAATGGCAAGCAGGCAGGCAGCAGGAACAGACGGGATCTGGTCGAAGGAGAGACAGGTTACAAACGTGGCAGGAACAACAATAATACTGAGAGCGTACAACTAAACTGAGAGTGCTGTACGGGCCAAGTTACCACAGGTAGTGTAGGAACGAACTGGCGCTGGAGAGGTGTCCAGCCCGGGTAGATAACTGCTGCTTGATTGGTGACAATGAGCTGCAGCTTGATGTAACTGATCTTGTGAGAGAATGGCCACGCCCCCTGACCTAGATCCTCTGACTGGGCTGCACAGCAGGGGGAGACAGACACAAACAACACACACAGGGGAAAAAAGGGAAAGGAAAACCAGCAGGAACAGGACCAACAGTGCCGGACCGTAACAAATATAGGAATGAGAATAGGAAAAATAATAGGGATGAGAGAGAGTGTGTATTTTTAAAATAGGACTTGCTGGTTGATTATGATATTGAGCAACAGATACCGGACTGGAGAACTGCCCACAGAGGACCCCATACATACGCACACACACAGTGAGATGGAGGTAGCATGGTGGTTTGTATGCTGCCTAAGGCATTAGCAACCTAAATTCCAAACCACAGACACACACTAACAGCCCACTATCCTCACCACACTGTCTATTATGGAAGGACAGTGGGCCCTGGGGATGGAAGAATGGAAAGAGGGAGAAAAGATAGCCCTGAAAAAGAGCTGGAATCCCTGGGTTGGGGGTAGGGAAGGGAGTGTCTCTCTCCCTGTTTGTATGTGTGTGTGTTTGTAAAGATTTGGAAAATACCTTTTTGTATAATGAAAAGATAAAAACATGCAAAACATTTTTAATCTGTAATCCAAATTATACATATACAAGGTTCAGGATAGTAGCATTTCTTTCAGAGACCACGCTCAAAAAAGAACAACAACTGAAAATAAAATACAATCTGTACATATTTGTTTTTACAGTGAATAGCCAATCAGAGAAGAGTACCAGATGAACACGAAGGCAGATGAACGGACAGAATCAACATCTTCATCATCATTGTCATCTTGGTTAAGTCAGAGTTGGAGTAAATCCCTTTTTAATTTAGTCAATTCTGGAAGTAAACTGAAATTACAATTACAATTCAAAATGTTGGAATTGGAATTTCAGTTTACTTCCTGAATTGACTGAATTAAAGTGGAATTGACCCCAACTCTGGTTTTGGTCGACTCCACCGACCAAACCTCAGAGTAACTACACAATATGTCTGCTACAAAATGTAGGACTGGTGACTCACTTTACTTAGCAATAAGTTACAACGTGAAAAAAGCTTAAAACAAAACAAAGAAAAACTGGGAAACTATCTAGAGTCTTTTAGCATTTACTGTACATTTATTCTCTCAATGCTCTCGATCCGGCAATGGGGAGTGTTCGTCCTGTGTGTCTCCATGGCAATGACGATGACTTACACACTCTGGCAGTGAGGTGTAACCCGAACGAAAACACTTTCTTTCACACACCACACACACGTGGTGAAGCATTCGTTCCTCATTTTAGACATCCGCTCTCTTAGAGCCAAAAATCCCTGCTAGAGTCAGGACCTTGAAAGTAATGAACAACAGAAAACTAAAACAGAATCCAAATAATGTACAAAAAGGCACATTTTTACCCCAGCGCTTCTGTACTGTGAGATTCAAGTGTAACTAAGCGTCTTTAGCGTCGTTAACCGCTGAGTGAGCGCACAGGCTCTCTCATTCCCGTTAACCACCCGTCAAACTACCAACGGTCGGTTTACTTCCAATGTTCTCCTCTGAGCGTTAAGCGTCCCTAAGCATGTGGGCTAACACTCTGCTAGCCTCAGTTAACCTGTATGCTAACTGGCTAGGCTAGCAGTCGCCACAGAAATGCACTCGAGCTGTTAGCGACCCTTAGCATGTAGGCTAAAACTACATGCTAACCTCAGTTAGCATGCATGCTAGCAGGCTAACAGTCACCACATTCTCCTCTGAGTTTTAGCGATCCTAAGCATATGAGCTAACACTCCACTAGGCTCAGTTATCCTGTATGCTAGCTCAGTTATCCTGTATGCTAGCAGGCTAGGCTAGCAGGTGCCACACCAGCATACTCCACTTTGTTTCTGTTCCTCTGTTCCAGTCAGCCAAAATATAAGTATCTTTACAACCAGCACTCCTTCCCTGTCCCATGATAGAAAAGTGCCACTCATGTTCCCTCCCCCATCACACCCACCCGTTGCCAATTCCCGACCCCTCTCCGGCCCCAGCACGGAGCTAGTCCTAGTTGTCCCCTCCACCATAGAGGTCTGCCAGCTTGCGGAAGCGCGGGCCCCAGTCACTGAGGTAGTCGTAGTCCTGGTCGCCGCCGGAAGAGGAGGAGTGAAGGGAGCTGATGGAGCCAGCGGTGGAGCCACTGCCCTCGTAGTCAAACACCAGAAGACTGTCGTAGGGGGGCGCTGTCGGGTCGTTATCAGCTGCCTTCAAACCCTGCGGAGGGAGAAGAGAGATAAGGGTAGAGGAAGAGAGAGATAAATAATGAGAGAGAGGGGGGAGAGATAGGTAAAAGGAGGGAGTAAATGAGAGATAGAGAGAAAGAAGAGACAAATAGGGGAAAGAGAGAAAAAGGGGAAAAAATTCTCAGGAGAGAGAGAAACAGAGCAGGAATGAGAGATATAGAATGAGAGCGATAGAGGGAGCAGGAGAGTAAGGGTAGAGGAGAAAAAGGAGGGATTATGGAGGGCAGAGGAGAGAAGAGAGGAGGATTTAGGTCAGGCTAGACAGATGCTGGGTCTGTCTCTCTGAGGAGGTTCAGCAGATTACTGAGCACTATATTTATAACCAACCCATACTTCACACGCACACGCACATGTGCACACACACACACACACACACACACACACACACACAAACCCTGCTACACACCACAGCTGACAGACTTTGTTATAATATAATAATAACTTTGTCTTAAAGTGTTGTCATTGACTGATGTCTTGTCTCAGTGCTAAAATTAATACAACAAATCTGATAAGATGAGGCTCTAGACATGTTTTTTGAACATGTCAGTCTTTGTCACAGCAAATTTGTGATCAGAATTTTAACAACCACAGTGTTAAATGTAACACTTTCTTAGAAATTATATGGGACCATCTCAAATAGTGTTAACCTTAACTTTTCAAAGTGTTGATAAACTAACACCCCAAGAGTTGTGGGTCCTTAACACAACGGGTGTTGCAAATTCTGACTTCAATTAACTCTTTAATGGAACTGATGCTGTTACACGTTCTCAGTGTTAAGGAATTAACACCTGTGGTGTTACAGTAACTCATTTTGGGGTGTTGTTATAAAACTGTAAGGTGTAAAGCCTTATTAGCATTTTCTTTTTTCCAGGGTGCCTTTTGAGTGAATTTTAGAGGTACCAGTAACAGCCATGAATGTGTTTGCTAGTGACAGAGACATGATTGTTGCATTCGCTTGCTTTCAGTGTTATATCCTTCACCAAGTGAGTGCCTAAGTTAATATTGTATCATAAAATTATGACAATACATTACTTTTTTTTACATTACCGTACTTTGACAGCATATTTTTACCCTAACACAGTGGTCTGAAACTCCTGGTTTGCAGGACACATCGGCAAGTCACATTATGCTGGTTTGTAGTGATGTTACGTTTGATACCGGAGTTCCGAGGCATAAGTCAAAATCACTAAGCAGATAACTTCGAAGCAGTGTGCCGATGCGTATATCACTTTATCAGAATTATGTCATCAATGACAACCGAAGCTTCATTTGATCACATACTTTTTTTAACTGTGTGTTGCAAAATGTGAGATCTCACTAATTTCGCCATGGTTCCGGTGCTTTCAAACACCGACCTCTACTGGACACCATACTTTTTATACAAAAAGTTTCACTTGACCGTTAACTTAGCAGGTACAGTAGGGAACAATGGAACATTCAGGGACGTGAGGATATGAGGTTGGATCCTGTTGAAGACACACTATTTAGAAAATTGTTTTATGTGAAACCACACTTTCTGCACTGTTCTTCAAATAATTTGTTATATTTAGATTAGTTTAAGCTTCTTTCTCTAAGCAGCCTAAGTAATGCCATAGATTCCATTTTTTTTTTTACCATTTAAAAAAATTAGTAAACAACTGATTATAGGCTACTAAAGCCAACTACTTACTGCTGCACAACGGAGATGTGATGAAAACAGTGGAGAGAACAAAAAAATGTCTGTCTAAGAATCAAACACTGCTATTTATTGCTGACCAGCAGATGTCACGAATGTGCATTGTGAACAGATAATGAAGCTCTGAGTAATGAACCATTTTCAGCACAATTTGGTAAAAGCGCCAAAGCCTTCAGAACACCTCAGTTTCCCACCACTACTGGTTTGCAAAGTGTAATATAATTCCTATTGGAATTCAGCCAGAATAACCAACAATAGGAACGTTTAAACATGCACAGTTGCAGCAAAGGTAGGGAAGGTTGTTAGACGAGACTACCTAAAGCATCTAAACTGGACCAACCATCTCAATAACGGATTAAATAAATCCAATCACTTACACAGATTGGATTAGTTTAGAAAAATGTATGTTATTTATCTTTGTGTAGTGTAAGATAAAAGAATCAATCAATGTGCATGCAGAAACATAGATATTAAAACAAACTATTTTAAAAAGCAACCTGCAACAAAGCATGCTGGAAAATATGATAATGAGGCTCCTCCCATGTCTTTTTCAGTTAACTGAAATTAACTCAACACAGTCGAGTAACAACAACACCACACGGTGTTGATTCCACTGTGATTCAAATAACACTTCATTTATTCACTGCAGGTTGTGTCAATTTCAGTCCCACTGGTATTAACCCCACTAGAATCAAAACTCAGATATAGCACTCACAACACTTTTTACCTCAACACCAACATTTTAATACCTGCAAATTTCCTGTGTAAGGATTTCTACATGTCATACCCAAAACTATTTCCTTCATTTGATTGATTTAAGGAGGAGTGAGGCAGTGGTAGAAGCATCGGCTTGTCATGTCTGCTAGATTAAGCTGTCTAGATCAGCTTGCCATGTCTGACAGCTCGCCTCATTATTCAGAGCTGTGTTTGGCAGACATCTCTATCCTTCCTGCCTAACCCAGTGACACACACACACACATCATTTTAACTTAATTTTTACCAGTATGTCACCTGTGCAACTGGAGGCGACAAAGCTCTTGATCACCTGTACTCCACACACAGAAACACATACAAGGCTCTCCCTTACCCTCCCTTTGGCAATTCTGACCATAACTCTATCTTCCTGATTCCTGCTTACAACCAAACACTTAAACAGGAAGTACCAGTTACACGCTCAATACGGAATAAGTCAGATGAAGCAAATGCTAAGCTGCAGGACTGTTTTGCTAGCATAGACTCAACTTTGTTCCGGGATTCATCCGATAAAATTGAGAAGTTTACCACATCAGTCACCGGCTTCATTAATAAGTGCGTACAAACCCCAACTGGAAGCCATGGATTACAGGCATCCACATCGACGGGGTTGTAGTGGAGCGGGTTGAGATATTCAAGTTCCTAAGAAATTAACATGGTCCATACACCAACACAGTCGTGAAGAATGTACGACAACGCCTTTTTCCCCTCAGGAGGCTTAAAAGATTTGGCATGGGCCCTAAGATCCTCAAAAAGTTGTACAGCTGCACCATTGAGAGCATCTTGACTGGCTGCATCACAGCTTGGAAGGCAGGTTTATGTAGATTTACAGGACCTTTACTGTAACACAAATGTACAGCATATTACTGGAACACCTGACTACAGTAACTTGCTGTATTTCTAGAATTTACAGTGCATTACTGGAAGCACTGTGGTTAATAAACTGTGGCAGATTTACAGTGCAGGTAGCTAGTGCCAACAACAGGCAGTATTTCTGTTACATGTATTTGATATAGTTATTTCAATACTTTCAATACTTATTTTGTCATTTGTATTTCACATTTCTGAACTACAATTAATGTAGCCTATTTTGTAACAATTTAATTAGCATATATGTATTCCATATTTTCTAAAACAAATATATACTCACAAGTAGCCTGCTTCACTACAACATTCTTGGTAACGGTAACATTGTCTTTTTACTTGCTATGATTGTGGTATATTCCTGTTTACCTTAGTTTAATACACTGACTGTAAGTCGTTCTGGAAAAGAGCATCTGGTATATGACCAAAATGTAAATGTAAATGTAAAAATGAACACTTGCAAAGCACACTGCTGGGTATTAAATCTTATGGCCTCCGCCCCCAAACAAGGCCAAATTGGATTTAAAAAATATTAGTTTGAGGGCGGAGCTTATTAGAATAATACCCAGCAATGTGCATTGCAAATGCTTATTTGTAACATTTACATTTTGGTAATTTAGCAGACGCGCTTGTCCAGAGTGACGCAGTGGTCTAAGGCATCGCAGTGCTAGCTGTGCCACTAGAGATCCTGGTGGCACAGGATCTGTCGTAGCCGGCCGCAACCGGGAGACCCATGGGGCGGCGCACAATTGGCCCAGTGTCGTCCAGGGTAGGGGAGGGAATGGCCGGCAGGGATGTAGGTCAGTTGGTAGAGCATGGCGTTTGCAATGCCAGGGTTGTGGGTTCGATTCCCACGGGGGGCCAGTATGAAAAAAATAAAAAATAAAAATGTATGGATAAGAGCGTCTGCTAAATAACAAAAAAAAAAAAAAAAAAAAACATCACAGTCATAGCAAGTAAGATTTCTGGAACCATTACTGGGAATGTTGTTGTAGTTAAGGATACATTGGTCTTCAAAACATCCTATATTTGTAATAAGATATCTTTGCCCGTCTCTGGCTATTTCAAAGTATATTACTGTTATATTCATAGTAATTTGCCACCAGCTTCCTGTAAATGACTGTAAAATACAGAGCAATGACATGGTACAATACTGTCAAATTAGTTTACTATACTGTAAGAATGTAAATGCTACTGTAATCATGTTGGCATTTTACTGTAATTTCTTTGTATTAGTGCAAGCAGGTTGGCTGCTAGGTATTTGTATATTACAGCATATTTATGATTATTTGGTTTTCTGTATCCATGCACTTCTAGAAGCCTAAACAAAGACTTCCAAACTGGCAGTGATTGCAGGGAAAAAGGACATGGTCTAATATTCAACCATTAAATGTTTAAGACGCACGGTCACTCTGCCCTAGTAAGGCACTACTACCACATATCAGTTCAATTGGTACACCATTCTCGCTAACGGGTGCAACAAATAGCCACACAAGGCACGCCTCAAAATATGTTAATGAGTCAGCAATTCTTTCCCCTCCCACAACATTTTTCCACAATGCACCATAATTTACAGAACACTGCAGTAAATATACAGCAAAACAGTATTTTATTGTTAAACTGTATTGTAATAAAATTACAGCAATTGCTAACAGTGTCCCGTGTAGCTCAGTTGGTAGAGCATGGTGCTTGCAACGCCAGGGTTGTGGGTTCGTTTCCCACGGGGGGCCAGTATGATTTTTTTTTATTATGCACTCGCTAACTGTAAGTCGCTCTGGATAAGAGTGTCTACTAAATGACTAAAATGTCAAATGAATATGTAACTATATAGTACAACATACCAATGAATATTTTGTGTTTTATATCACTTGCACTTCTAGAGACCTAAACAAAGGCTTCTAAACTGGCAGTGACTACAGGGCAAAACAGATCAGAAGGACATGGCTAAACACTCAATCATTAAAGGTTTGAGACTTGCTGCTACTCTGATCTGTTCCCTATATACAATTCATTTTGAGGGAACTACTACCACATATCACTTAAATTGGTACTGTACAGCACTCTCATTAACGGGTGCAAGTATAGCGTCTTACGAGGCACGCCTAAAAATGTGTTAATGAGCTACAACAATACCATATACCAACAAAAGGTTATTGGCACTCCAAAATTACAGTATGGTACTGAATTACAGTAAATTACTGGCAGCACAGTAGCTAGTAAATTACTTTAGATTTACAGGACAAATATATATATATATATATATATATATATATATATATATAAAATGGTATGGTACTGTATTCTGTGGGGTACAGCATTCTCACTAATGGGAGCAACAAATACTGTTTAACCTTTTACATGGAACGCCTCAAAATATGTTAATGAGCCAGAGATTATTTTGCCCTTCCACAACATTTTCCCACAATGCAACACAATTCACAGTATGCTGCTGTAAATATATAGGTAAGACAGTACTTTACTGTAAAATTGCATTGTGAAATTATTTTACAGCAGTGTAGCGGAACGCCATTGAGCCCCCATAATACATTGCTCTTTACAGTACTGTAATATAGAATTACAGTAGGTAACTGAAAGTTTTGCTGTAAAATTACAGCAAATTCTTACAGTGCTCCTGTTGTTTACGAAGCATGGGACAAATAACATTTGATTTGATTTGATACACAAGACCTAGGAAACACAGGGAAAGGGATGGGGATATCTAGTCAGTTGCACACCTGAATGCATTCAACCAAAATGTGTCTTCTGCATTTAACCCAAACCCTCTGAATCAGAGAGGTGCGGGGGGGCTGCCTTAATCGAAGTCCACGTCATCAGTGCCTGGGGAGTAGTTATTGTGGGGGTTAACTGCCTTGCTCAAGGGCTCGGGGATTCGACAAGCAACCTTTTGGTTACTGTCCCACTGCTCAATTGAAAAATATACTGTATTAACCCTTGTCCAAGAGCTGTCCTCATCGCCTAGATATAGACATAAACTCACTAGATTCAACACACATATTAAATCTACCTAACTTAGATTGTGCTATGACTATTCTGTTGTAGCCAACTGGAGCTGTCTAGAGGTGGAGCCCAAAGCCAGTCTCACTCTGGGGATTAATGAAACTCAGTGGATTTACCTTAAATTAGCCAGCCGGGCCAGCCCATGTAGTGACCACGCTAATCCTCACTGTTAGCAAAGCTAATTAAGAATTACACACAGAGGCAGGGGCCCCTCTCTCTCTGTGTCACACACAGTGAGTCACATACACACACACAGTCATGCACACACAAGCTCATACACATAGTTTCACACAATGACACACATGTAAGCAAGCATGCTCACAATCAGACTCAGACTCACTCTCACACACACACAAACACACACACACACACACACACACACACACACACACACACACACACACACACACACACACACACACACACACACACAGTAGCTACCTCGTGGATGAAGTCTCCTATATCTCCGGGGTGGGGTGCAGCAGAACGGAGGGGATACAGGTGGTCCTGGTGTAAGGGTCTCTCATCCATACGCCTGATCCCCACCTTCACCATTTCCGTCTCCAACGCATCGGGCTGCTGCAGCTGGCTCAGGTCATAGTCCTGGAGGGGGAAGGGAATGAGGGGGGGAGAGAGGGAGAAAGGGGGGAGTGAGAGAGAGACAGAGAGAGAGATTAATACACTGAATCAAACACTGTAACACAGACTGCACTACCACGTAGAGAGAGATCCTTAGGTATTATTCCCATGTTGGTCACACTGTGGTGCAGTAACCATGATTGAAACGGTCATAAGCAGTTTATTCTATATAAACAATCCATGATTATAGATCTCATAAAGTTATAAGATGATCTTCTGACACTGGTTGTATATGAAGTGATGTATTGGTGAAAAAATATGTGGGTAAATGCTGATTGCCATTTGCTGTGAATAATGTAACGCTCACTATACTTTCAGTTTAGCTTTCACTGCACCACTGTGTATACACTGTAAAAAGCGGCATGAAGTGCTTGTAATCCAACTGAAGAAATGTAGGTAGGTAATTCCCCTCCAAAAATGGGTTGTATTTACATGAAATATTAGTTTGTATTTGTTGTTTATTAGGTTTAATAAAAGGGGAAACATATGTTGAGTGTTGAATGAAATAGGTTGCAACTTGAAATATAGGTTTGGTAATAATCAAATAAAACAGTTGGCATTGAATCATACATTTGAATTCAACAAATGCAGTATTTTTCAATTGAGAAAACCTAACTCATTTACTTGTAAGCAGTTTAAGTATTTTTTTTAGGTTGATCCAGAGTCATTTTTAACAGTGTAGGTAACTGCTGTAATTGTCCCTCTCTCTCATACCAACACGACCTTACACTGACTCAGTGAATGAGAGAGAGTGTTAATTTTTTTATTGTTTATTTCACTTTTGTTTATCTATTTTACTTGCTTTGGCAATGTAAACATACATTTCCCATGCCAATAAAGCCCTTAAATTGAATTGAATCGAATTGAGAGAGAGAGAGAGAGAGAGAGAGAGAGAGAGAAGAGAGAGAGAGAGAGAGAGGGAGAGAGAGAGAGAGGAGAGAGAGCTAGAGAGAGAGAGAGAGGAGAGAGGAGAGAGAGATAGGAGAGAGAGAGAGGAGAGAGAGAGAGAGAGAGAGAGAGGAGAGAGAGAGGAGAGAGAGAGAGATGTGCTCTGATCTTTCTCCTTTTGAATTGCCAGTGGTCTGATTAATTGAGAAATCATCCATAAACACATGATGAAAACATCCATCTCCAAGGGGGATCGACTTAAAGAGCATTTCAGGGACAATATAGCCCGGCTGCAGTAACAGCTAACCAATGAAACACTTTCAGGGGAAAGCTGTGAATGCCACCATAAGATGATGGACAAAGAGAGAAGGAGAGGAAATGGATGGATAAATACAGAAGGCTTTATTGTTATTTCCTAGACAGAGGAGAACACGCGCGGGCTGATTTCCCAATGGCACCTTATTCCCTTTAAAGTGCACTACTTTTGACCAGACCCAAAAGTAGTGCACTATACAGTGGGGGAAAAAAGTATTTAGTCAGCCACCAATTGTGCAAGTTCTCCCACTTAAAAAGATGAGAGAGGCCTGTAATTTTCATCATAGGTACACGTCAACTATGACAGACAAATTGAGAGAGAAAAAATCCAGAAAATCACATTGTAGGATTTATTATTAATTTATTTGCAAATTATTGTGGAAAATAAGTATTTGGTCACCTACAAACAAGCAAGATTTCTGGCTCTCACAGACCTGTAACTTCTTCTTTAAGAGGCTCCTCTGTCCTCCACTCGTTACCTGTATTAATGGCACCTGTTTGAACTTGTTATCAGTATAAAAGACACCTGTCCACAACCTCAAATAGTAACTCTCCAAACTCCACTATGGCCAAGACAAAAGAGCTGTCAAAGGACACCAGAAACAAAATTGTAGACCAGCACCAGGCTGGGAAGACTGAATCTGCAATAGGTAAGCAGCTTGGTTTGAAGAAATCAACTGTTGGAGCAATTATTAGGAAATGGAAGACATACAAGACCACTGATAATCTCCCTCGATCTGGGGCTCCACGCAAGATCTCACCCCGTGGGGTCAAAATGATCACAAGAACGGTGAGCAAAAATCCCAGAACCACACGGGGGGACCTAGTGAATGACCTGCAGAGAGCTGGGACCAAAGTAACAAAGCCTACCATCAGTAACACACTACGCCGCCAGGGACTCAAATCCTGCAGTGCCAGACGTGTCCCCCTGCTTAAGACAGTACATGTCCAGGCCCGTCTGAAGTTTGCTAGAGTGCATTTGGATGATCCAGAAGAGGATTGGGAGAATGTCATATGGTCAGATGAAACCAAAATATAACTTTTTGGTAAAAACTCAACTCGTCGTGTTTGGAGGACAAAGAATGCTGAGTTGCATCCAAAGAACACCATACCTACTGTGAAGCATGGGGGTGGAAACATCATGCTTTGGGGCTGTTTTTCTGCAAAGGGACCAGGACGACTAATCCGTGTAAAGGAAAGAATGAATGGGGCCATGTATCGTGAGATTTTGAGTGAAAACCTCCTTCCATCAGCAAGGGCATTGAAGATGAAACGTGGCTGGGTCTTTCAGCATGACAATGATCCCAAACACACCGCCCGGGCAACAAAGGAGTGGCTTCGTAAGAAGCATATCAAGGTCCTGGAGTGGCCTAGCCAGTCTCCAGATCTCAACCCCATAGAAAATCTTTGGAGGGAGCTGAAAGTCTGTGTTGCCCAGCGACAGCCCCAAAACATCACTGCTCTAGAGGAGATCTGCATGGAGGAATGGGCCAAAATACCAGCAACAGTGTGTGAAAACCTTGTGAAGACTTACAGAAAACGTTTGACCTGTGTCATTGCCAACAAAGGGTATATAACAAAGTATTGAGAAACTTTTGTTATTGACCAAATACTTATTTTCCACCATAATTTGCAAATAAATTCATAAAAAATCCTACAATGTGATTTTCTGGATTTTTTCTTCTCATTTTGTCTGTCATAGTTGACGTGTACCTATGATGAAAATTACAGGCCTCTCTCATCTTTTTAAGTGGGAGAACTTGCACAATTGGTGGCTGACTAAATACTTTTTTTCCCCAATGTATATGGGATAGGGTGCCATCTGGGATGCAGCCACAGACATCTCTACAGCCAGCCAGGGAGCCTGCTAGCAAGGGACTCAGCCATCGTTACTGGAGGAAAATAGCTGGGCTCTGTCATCGCTCACCATGCTCAGTCTTTGACACCAAGACGATAGGCTAAGTACACAAAAAGCTGATGAAATTGTATTATCCCTTTAAAACGCTTACTGTAACATGTGCAATGTGTGTGTGTGTTTGTCATTTGAGAGGCTGTATTATAACTGTATATCTGGAAGTCTTTGTGTTTGGGTCTTCTGAAAGAGGTTTGTGCTTTTGTTAGCAGTGGCTGACTGAAGAGGATATGGCCATTAGTACCAGGGAAGAGAGCCACAATGTGTGATTAATGTATAGAGAGACTTACTTTTTGGATTGTCTGGATTTGTTATAGGTCAGGCCTGTGCTGTTGTTAGCATTGGCTATGACCATGAACACAAACTGCTGTTAGCCTCAGTCTAGTAACTGTTAAGGACCAGAGGGCCATCCCAAATGTCTCCCTATTCCCTTTATAGTGTACTTTTGACCAGGGCCCTATGGGATGCACACTCTGCGGCTCTGCTATTGGCATCAGTGTAGCATAGTATCCGTTTAGCACCAGAGAGCCAGACTGTGTGACTGCTCCTGTAGCTGTCTCTGGCCTGACCACTCCCCATAGCCCCTCACCACTGGGAGTCCCAGACAGACATTACTAATCCATCCCACAGCAGGGGGACTGATCAGGCTGAACTAGCCGCTCCACTCTCCAACAGTTCATTTTCCCGGTACTGCCAATTCCTCGACGTGACAATTTTCCAGAACAATAGGCGGGGAGTACCATCCATCGCAGTGAAAGATGGTCTCTTGCCTTGACCATTGCCATGGCAATAAATGTTTATCACCCCCTATCAGAGTGCCATTATTAATATCCAATGACTGGTCGGCTAGGTCCTACAAACCCCCATGGGGAATTCCACTGTAACGGAATTACACTGAGACTCAACCTTTGATTTCCAAGTTTAATAAACCATACAACTCTATGAACAAGTACTACTTATAAAAATGTACATAGAACATTTTACAAAAACACGTTTGCTTGAAAAACAGTGCAGATGCAAAGTTTGGTTACAGAATGACGATTTTTGCTGTTGGTGCCTTCATTCTGTTACCAAACGTTGCATCTGTACTGTTCTTCAAGTAAATGTGTTTTAGTATATATTTTTTCTGTGTAAATTGTACATTTGGCATACATTTTAAAGTGAAAAATCGGAGTCTCAGCATAATTCAATTTTCGTGGAATTCAGTGTGTGTGTGTGTGTCTGCGTGTACAGTCCCTCTTTCCCATCCACTGTAAATCCTCCTTGCCTCCCCCCTCCCCCTTTACCCACACACTGACCTTCTGTCTCCCACTAGCCGTTAGCGGACGGCTAACCCTCCATCTGAATCAGCAGCTGATTGGCTATGCTATCATTATGCTAATGTTAGTGTGTGTTTTCTCTACCTGGTCCTCCTCTCCTCCTCCTTCTTCGTCGTACTTCAGTATGTTGTCTCTGACATCGTCCTCCGGGTCGATGAGTAGCTGCTTGGCCTGACGTTCCTTATCCCTCCTCTTCATCCACATCACAAAGAACAACACCATCACTACGGCGAGGGGGGGAGGGAGAAATAGGAAGGAGGAGGGGAGGGAGAGAGGAAAGGATAGAGGAAGGAGGGGGAAGAAAGAGAGGAATAATTAGAACTTCACAACCATTTCATTTGACCACTGCACACTGCATCAAAGGGCACGTTTACACTACATTCCCTTATCACTCAAGAACACTCAGAGAGAGAGAGAGAGAGAGAGAGAGAGAGAGAGAGAGGCAGGAACGAGGGTAGAATAAAGAGGGTGGAAGCGGGGAGAAGATAGAAAGGAGGTAAGGATGAAGGGAACAACATGCAGCTTCAGTTTTGTAAATTTTTATTCATCCATATTTCTCTGCTGTTAAAGAGAATCCAGAGAGGTTTTAAGCTTGAAAGGAGCTTGATGCAGATTTCAGAAGATGGCTGGGTGTGAGGCTGGGGTGTTGACGATTACATTAAGGGTGAGGCAGGGGGCTAGACTGGGGGAGGCTGGGGGTAGACCGGATGAGGGTGGTAGAGGGTCTGTCAAAGGGCTGTAAAGGGAGGAGGGGGTTAGGAAGTACCAGTGACGTGCTCAATACGGAAGTGGTCCGATGAAGCGGATGATAAGCTAAGGAGACTGTTTCGCTAGCACAGACTGGAATATGTTCTGGCATTCATCCGATAACGTTGAGGAGTTTACCACATCAGTCACCGGCTTCTTTAATAAGTGCAGAACGACGTCGTGACCGTAAGTACAAACCCCAACCAGAAGCGATGGATTACATGCAACATCCGCACTGAGCTAAAGGCTAGAGCTGCCACATTCCAGGAGCGGGACTGTAATATGGACACTTAGAAAAAATCCAGCCACGACCTCCGACGAGCCATCAAACAGGCAAAGCGTCAATATAGGACTAAGATCGAATCCTACTACGCCGGCTCTGATGCGCGACGGATGTGGAAGGGCTTGCAAACTATCACAGATTACAGGGCAAGACTCGAGGCAAGCAACACTGGACCATCATGAGCTGGAGGCAGGGCTTTCTCCTATAGAGCAACATTTTTATGGAATGGTCTGCCTATCCATGTGAGAGACGCAGACTCGGTCTCGACCTTTAAGTCTTTACTGAAGACTCTTCTCTAGGTCCTATGATTTAATGTACTCTGGCCCAGGGATGCAAAGGTGAACGACAACGCACTGGAGCGACAAACCGCCCTTGCTGTCTCTGCTTGGCCGGCTCCCCTCCCTCCATTGGGATTCTCTGCCTCTGACCCTATTACGGGGGCTGAGTCACTGGCTTACTAGTGCTCTTCCATGGCGTCCCTAGGAGTGGTGCATCACTCGAGTGGGTTGAGTCACAGACGTGATCTTCCTGTCCGGTTTTGCGCCCCCTCCTGAGGTACTGACCTGTTGCACCCTCTACAACCATTGTGATTATTATTTGACCCTGCTGTTAATCTATGAACGTTTGAACATATTGAAGAACAATCTGGTCTTAATGGCCATGTACTCTTATAATCTCCACCCGGCACAGCCAGAAGATGACAGGCCACCCCTCAGAGCCTGGTTCCTCTCTAGGTTTCTTCCTAGGTTCCTGCCTTTCCACCGTGCTTCTACATCTGCATTGCTTGCTGTTTGGGGTTTTAGGCTGGGTTTCTGCATAGCACTTTGTGACATCTGCTGATGTAAAAAGGGCTTTATACATACATTTGATTGATTGATGAGCACACCAGCTGTTCCGGACGACTGTATGATCTCGCTCTCCGTAGCCGATGTGAGTAAGACATTTAACCCCCTAAGGTCAATGTCCGTGCCCCCACGGAAATCGAATTAGCATAATAAAAGATCCCCATAAAAATCTGTCAATTTAAGCTAGAGAGACACTATATGTAGAAAAGTATGTGGACAGCCCTACAAATTAGTGGATTCAGCTATTTCAGCCACACCCGTTGCTGACAGGTATATAACATCGAGCACACAGCCATGCAATCTCCATAGACAAACATTGGCAGTAGAATGGCCTCACTGAAGAGCTCAGTGACTTTCAACGTGGCACCGTCATAGGAAGGTCAAGTAGCAGTCATGCATCCACCTATATAACACTTCTGCATCTGCGGTGAAAGGTGACAGAGCTAGAGCGGTGTTTGTCAGACCATGAGACATCCCGAAAATCGGTGTTCTCACACAATCGTCTATAGCGTCCAAACTATTTGGCCTAGAAACTATTATGACCCCTCTATGGAAAGATGAGACTCTCCGTTTTGCTTTATGACCCCTACAAGCATCTTGGGACTAGTCTGAAGTCGGTACAGCCGATTTGCCAACTTCTGTCTGTAGCATCCGAACAGTTTGGGCTACACGCTAATATGACCCCTCTGTGTAAAGGCAAGACTCTCACGAACACGTACATATCAGGCCTCACAAGACTTGTCTGAAGGTCCCCCAGTACCAGTCAAAAAAGTTAATGGAAGTACAGTATATATGGAGACTGTTTAGTGACCAAAAGATGGGGTTAAATACATGTTTTAAAAAATAAAGAATAAAATGTTTCCTGTTCTTTATTATATCTCTCAGATATAGGATAGACACTTCAAAACAAACTTCCTTTAGATTTGTTTGGGGGGACTATCTGTTGTTCCATGTAGCGAATCTGTTATTCAATGCATTTGTATGGGCTAATAGTAGTAAGGCCAAATACAATTTTTCATCAAATAATTTATTTATATATATTTTTTTTGATACTTCAAGAGGTCTTAAAATGCACAATCAAATAGCAAAATGATCCTTGGTATGACCTTAAAAAAATCCATATAGCTTAGTAGTAACCCCCCTCCACCAGCTTAGACAGGGTTAAACAGGTTAACATTAGCAAGGCCGCAGGGCCAGACGGAATACCAGGATGCGTACTCAGAGCATGTGCTGACAAGCTGGCAAGTGTCTTCACTAACATTTTAAACCTATCACTGACCCGGTCTGCAATACCAACTTGTTTCAAGCAGACCACCATAGTACCCATGCCCAAGAACACCAAGTTAACCTGCCTAAATTAATATTGCCCTGTAGCACTCGCATCTATAGCCATGAAATGCTTTGAAAGGCTGGTCATGGCTCACATCAACACCATCATTCAAGACACCCTGGACCCACTCCAATTCGCATACCACCCCAACACATCCACAGATGATGGAATCTCTATTGCACTCCACACTGCCCTCAAACACCTAGACAAAGGGAATACCTATGTAAGAATGCTGTTCATTTACTACAGCTCAGCATTCAACACCATATTCCCCTCTAAGCTCATCACCAACCTCAGGACCCTGGGTCTGAACACCTCCCTCTGCAACTGAATCCTGGACTTCCTGACGGGCCGCCCCCAGGCGGTGAGGATAGGCAACAACACATCCGCCACGCTAACAATCAACACGGGGACCCCTCAGGGGTGTGTGCTTAGTCCCCTCCTGTCCTAACTGTTCACCCACAACTGCGTGGCCGCGCACGATTCCAACACCATCATCAAGTTTGCTGACAACACGATGGTGGTAGGACTGATCACCGTCGACGATGAGGCAGCCTACAGAGAGGAGGTCAGAGACGTGGCAGCCAGTGTGTTGCCAGGACAACAACCTCTCCCTCAACGTCAGCAAGACAAAGGAGCTGATCGTGGACCACAATAAATGGATGGGTGAGCATGCCCCCATCCACATCGTTGGGGCTGAAGAGGTGCGGGTCATGAGCTTAGATTTCCTCGGTGTCCACATCACTAAGGAATTAACATGGTCCACACACACCCACAAGTTGTGAAGAGGGTACGACAGCGTCTCTTCACCCTCAGGAAGCTGAAAAGATTTGGCATGGGCCCTCAGGTCCTCAAAAAAGTTATACAGCTGCACCATTGAGAGCATCTTGACTGGCTGTATTATCGCTTGGTACGGCAACTGCAAGGCACCTGACCGCAAGGCGCTACAGAGGGTGGTGAGTACGGCGCAGTACATCACTGGGGCCGAGCTCCTTGCCATCCAGGACCTCTATATCAGGCGGTGTCAGAGGGCCCAAAAAAAGGTCAAAGCCACCCAAGCCATAGACTGTTCTCTCTGCTACCACACAGCAAGCAGTGCCAGTGCACCAACTCTGGAACCAACAGGACCCTGAACAGCTTCTACCCCCAAGCAATGAGACTGCTAAACAAAGCTGCTAAATAGCTATTTAAATGGTTACCCTTACTACCTGCATTTACCCTTTTTTAAAACGAATTCTCTTGCACTGACTCTATGCACAAACACTGGACACACACTCACACATACTTACACTGACACCCCAACACACACACACAACGCACGCCCCCACATGCATACTGACGCCACACACACACACACACACACACACCTACTACTACTACTCCACATACGCTGCTGCTTTAGCTCAGTCTATTATCTCTCCTGTTGCCTAGTAGCTTTGCCCCTACCTATGTGTACATAGCTACCTCAATTACCTCGTACCCCTGCACATCGACTCGGTACTGGTACTCTCTCTATATAGCCATGTTATTTTTACTCTTTATTGTTATTTGTTATTCACTGTGTATTTATTCCTTGTGTCACTATTTCAATTTTTTTATTTAAGATTTTGTATCTTTATTTTCAACTCTGCATTGTTGGAAAAGGACCCGTAAGTAAGCATTTCACTGTTAGTCTACACCTGTTCTTTACACAGCATTTGACAAATAAATTTGATTTGATCTCAGAAATATGGTTATGGTATTGTCCCATGGGGTCAAAAAAGGTCAAAATACACACAATGTACCTTCAGAGGTACACATAATGATCTCACATGTCACTGTTCGGTACCTTTTAGGATACATGTGCGGATAAAGGGTATAATGGTACATATTTGTACCCCACATTTTTTATATAAATGTACAATCATCACACTCACTCTCAAAAAAAAGGAATACAACGTGAAGGTACTTTTCTGTTTCCCAGGGTACAAACATATTGTGTGTACCCTCAATACCCTTAATACCCACCATAAGGTAAAA